AGAGAAACTGTTAATGATTTAATATTATTCAGAAAAAATATTGACATAGTTGCACAGCTTAATCACAAAATAGTGTTAAAATTGCATTAAATCGATTTTAAATTGCGAACTTTCAGTTATTTTGGAATCAACTTACCTTTTATCAGCATTTAAAATTAGCAAAATGTTTACTTTATTGACGATGTTCACAATGTAAACTCTTCGTTTTTGTTTTTATTTCCTTAAAGTAAAGGGAGAAAAAAGAAAGATTACGTATAATACGTAGTATTTGAATTGCATTATATGAGGGGGAAACTTTTAAAGTTCTGTTGAAAGAAAAACATAATTTTGCCCGAAGTCGTCAAAACTGAGCAGTCAACCATTACATTTTTTTCACGTAAAAAGGGATTTCATACACCATTCGTAGTTTAATCTTTTTTTTCTTTCTTCTTTTCTACGTGACAACATTTATTTTGAAAAATTATTCTGAGCCAAGGAAGTTCATTTTCCAAACTGTCAGACACAGTTATAGTCATAAACTGAATAGATTTTTGTCTGAAACAAAATGTAAAATATATAGTTTTTTTTTCAGTCTACGTTTGTCTCAGTTACAGGAAATTTTATTTAACTCTTTATATGGATATTTTTCCTAGAAATAATTTGATAAAATGTTAAAATTGAGATCGATCTATAAAAACAAATTAGTTTACTTTTTTGTTGAAAATTAATTTGTTTTTTTAAGATCATTTCGTGGTAAGATGGGTGCGAATTTTGAAAGTTATTGTAAAGTTTTACTTCAAGGCTTATAAATAACAAAATTATAAACTTTGTGAGACTAACTACAAATAAATTTGATGAGAAATGATCAAACGAATGAACGAATTAAGTACAAAAATAAAATAGCTCCCCAGTGTTGGTCTCACTTCTAGACCACATGTGAACCTTTACTCTTGCACCTATGTAAACAATGCTCTTCATAGAAACTTTTTTTGTATTTTTTGAAGTTATTTACAGATGACATTACAAATTACAGATATGCAATTTACAGAAAAAGAAGTTTTCCATCGATATTTAAAAATTAATGAAGATGATGGGAAGTACACTTCCCATAGCCTTATAAAAGGTTAAGTCAACAAATTTGAAAACTTCTTTCAAAATTTATCATACCTAAATATTACGAAATCATCTAAATTATTGTAATATAAAGTAAATTTAAAATCGGACGAATAATCTCTTTGAAGTGAAGCTTTCAAAAATGAAGTTTTGAAGTTGATAAAACTACGAGTTGAGCATCATTTTGCTCCACTAAAAAAGCATATACTAATTCGTCCGGGAATTTGCCTGGATAATTATCCGGGATTGGGTAATCCCGGATATAATTAATTCGATATTATATATAGTCTTTAACTTTGTGATACAAGTTCATGTTATTGTAAATTTATCAATAAATTAATTATTTATTAAAAATTAATTATTTTAAATCTGTAAAACAGTACATTTTAATTCAGATTTTTATAACAAGGTTATGAAATTTAACACAACTTGTAGAAACCAATTAAATATTACAACTATTTTGTATCATTCATTTTTACATTTCTCTCGTTATTGGGGTAAATATTGCCGCTAACCAGATATTCTAACAATTAAATTAAATTCCTGCTAAATTGATTCATAAGCAACTAAATTTAGCTTTTTAGGAAGGAAAGGTTGTTTGAATTATTGCTTTTGAAAATCTTTGCTGGCGCTTTCTTAATTCTTATGACTTCATTTATGGTATGTTTTTGCTAATATTGCCAACATTAGATACGTATTTAAAATAACGAATGTTTTGTGAACAGTCTTTACTGGACTGCGTCAAAAGTTGCCTCATACTTCAATAACGCTTATTACGACTGATTATAATGATGTATTAATTTACACAATGATTGCGCCATCTATCGAATAATTATATCAACCTTTCGTTGATAAGTCTTGTTTATTAAATTATTTAAAGCGCTGTTTCACTAAAAACTTGCTCTCTATATACTAACTGCACTTTTGTCATTAAAAAAGTTGAATATCATGTACATGAATTATTGTATTTCCACGTCACATAAGTAAATATTGTTGCCTGGTGTCAAATAAATATATAATTAACTTCCTAACTAAATATTTTATGCAATCTTTTGCAAGCCGTTTTTATTGTTATTTACTAATCATTTATGTTATTAAATTCCTTGCAAAAATGATTGAATATGTGTCGCTAAAAGATTGGTTTGTTTGTAAATGGGTGCTTAGGCTAGACTAATTTACTGATAATTAGCATTTGCAATAAAACCTATCGAAATTGTTTGAAACTTATTTGTTTCTATAGAGCTACCAATCACACTTTTCCTGAAAATTTGATTTCCGCATCGTTTTGGTTATAGTGTTTTAATTTAAATCAAATTGCTAGATTACCATTTCAAAAAAAATTTTCAGTTAGGAAATTTTGGATGAACTCAATTAACGCTTAAAAATTTCATTCATAAATAAACTTAAAATAAGGAATGCTGTTAATGAACTAAATCCTGTTCAATATTTAGTTTTTAAATATTGCCACATAGTTTTGTTTTATTAATCTTTATTTATTAACTGTTAAGCTAATAAATAACGATGATTATATGTATGACTGTGGCAAACTCAGAGATGTGATTGGTGATATTAGTGTACGCCACTGGGAGGCCCGGTGAATTATGATTGTACAGTCATGGACGGAAGATGATTAAATAAATAATATTTAATAAATATACAACGAAATGCAAAGTTTTTATTAATTTATCAAACATTCCTTAATTATTTTTTGTTATTTCAAATGGCTGAGATTACATAAGACCACTACACCACAAAATAAAAAGACGAAAACACAACATTAAACAAGAGTGATGCTGACGGAAAAGTCCAGAATTGAAAAGTATTTTTGTTTTTATTACTTTGTTATTATTAGTTATTAGAAATACGATTAAATTGTAATAACAACAAGAATAAAATTTAATTACATGTACTGAAATATTTGAATATGGATTGAATGCAAGTGTTTATGAGTAGAATCTAACGTGATAAACTACACCAAATAGTTTTCATTTTGAAATCTTTAATCAAACAAACATCATAAGTAATACAAATATTGATTCAACTATAAATACCTAAAACCTGATATTAAACTGAATGACGCGCACTGGTGATCCCGTCCAAGCCAACTGTCTAAAGTCAACAAACTAATTGTCCGAGCGAGAATCTCAACACGCATGCTCAAATAATTACGCGCCGTAGTTTTCGTCGTCAAGGGATTGAACACGTTATTCTACTTAGAAAACAGAGCTTCAGCTTAAAATGTTAATTTTTTACTTGCCAAACAGCAAGCTAGTGAACCAATCAATACTAAATTTTAAAACCAAATTATTATTTTTCTTGATGATATCTTGATAGCTAACAAAAACATGAGTTAGTTTTAGTAGAAAATCAAAATATTTACCTCTCACATGTTTAACAATTGACATATCTTGCTTCAACCACGCTTCAAATATAACTTTAATATTTAGTTCATATAATTTTTTTTAGATTTAGTTGCAGAAAGCCTGAGAAATTTTCAAAATAACTTAGCTAATCACTTTATTTTTAAAATCTTAAATTTTTGTGTTTATTACATCTCGTGGACAGGAGAAATTCAAATACGAAGAAAAAACTAGCTTAACTGCATGGATGTAATGTTTAACTCTGTTAATATACGAACTTTCAGTTATNTATATATATATACATTTTTTGTGTATGGAATATACAATATACATGGGAGTTTTGAAAACAGTGTCATTTTTCTATCTTTTCAAATTGTGGGACTGAAAATCAGTTGAAAGTATGGAAATTTCCCCATTATACATTATACTTTAAATTTAAACTAAAGTGCCAATGAATTTGAGATAGACTATGCAACGCAAATTGCGTAGATGAGCTTCACTTATATGCACACGTGGGACCAAGATAATTGAAAATTTAGCAATGCTGTAGTGGCTATTTTTCAATGGGTATTAATTTGGTTTAACGTTTAAGTTCGCTGGCAAGAAGCATTGAGCCTGAATCGAATCACATTAGGAGTCGTTTAGTTCTGATTACTTTCTGCCGTTTGCTCGATCAATATAGCTTTTTTCCCATCATGAGAATATTTTCGATATACTCTTGTAATTGTCGACCATCGAAATCATAGTTTCCTGAAACTTTTGGGATTTGAATTGACTCGAGCGCCTATACTAGTTCTGTTATATTGCGCGCTAGTTGGACATCGTAATCAGATATTTAACTCATATTGGCAGTTGATTATTTTTTTCAGAAGCTTGATTAATCAATTACGAAACAAATTTCTTTTTATAATAGCTTCATTTGAGCAATATGATAAATAAAAATAACTTAAATTAAGTTCTGACTCTTTCAAGGCGCTCTTGAACTAATGGGAATGGAACATACAGGACAATTTAGATTACTCATGTTTTCATACAAATGAAAAAAAAATCCATTTCATTTACAGAAATTCAAGCAAATTAATTAATTTTTCTAATATTCCTTATCATTCACCGATCCGAAGGACCAGCAACTAAATTCTAAATTTCTTAAGAGATCAAAATTTACATGTAAATAAGGTCATTGTATGCGTGTCATTTATTAAATTTATGGTGTTATTCCTGTATATTTTCCCTATGTTATAGGAAATCATAAGCTTTTCGAAAGAAACTTTTCATATGTTTGCCTATTATTATATATATAAAATGATAAGGTTTGGAATGTTTATATAAAATCCTTACATTAAAAAAAAACATTAGAAAAATCATCTACAACACATCATCTTATGTTTCTGACAAAACGCTGTAAGTCAAAAATACTTTAACAAATCGAAACTATCTTTAAAGTTTCATGAAATTAATGCCACACAATATTGGTAACATGAAATTTTATGCTACATATATATATTAGAGGCTTAAACGGCCATTCACCTTTGATTTAAGCAACGGATATAGTACATTTTAGACTTTTAATTTCATCATAGATACATCCAACAAAACATTTTATTTCTAAAGTTTTCAAAACCTTTGAACTGAGTGATGATAAGTGTACCAAGTATTTTCATGCATAGAACTTTAATCATCATTTCACACATATTACGAAATTACGTTTTGTTATCAACTCAAATGCTGTAAATATACAACAGTGTTCTTCTTCACAGTCCTTTAATTACATCCTGCTAATGAGTAAAACTGTTGAATAGTGTATGCCGTCAATCAAGTTTAATGACCTTCGATGGATCAAAGTTTTCTAGAGTCCATATTTGCCAAGCGCTTACGATGCATTTCTCAAGAGTCACTCCATCTTTGTCTTCGTTCATTTCCAAACATTTACCAGTTGCAGAGTGTAAAAGAACCCGTGACTGTTAGAAAAAATTCAAATAGTTTAAAACAACGTAATATGTTTACACAAAATAATATTGATTGATCTATTTTGAAAAACTTCCAAACAAAAAGGGAAAATCGTTTTTAAGAAACCCTTAAAAAAGATTTTTCTTTAGTATATTAACGTCGCATTAGCGGACTGTTAAGAGCTCCTTGGGATTCATCAGTAATTTCCGAAGACAATACTAGCGCATACATGCTTTTATACAATCAGAATTTATTTCGGGGAACTTTAATCACCAGGGGATTTCTCTAAACACTCCACAGCTGCCTAAACATGCATGAACTTTTCTGGTTTTGAAACAATTGGGGACAATAGTGAGTTTCGAGTCACTATCTTACCATCCCAGATAAAACAAATTGATCAGACAGTTAGAAACGAGATCCAGCTTAACCCTTATAGGGGAAGACAGACAACACATCACATAGCTTAGCCCCTCAAAAAAATTAAAAAATAAAAGGATAACATTTACACTTTTTAAATTTAGGGTTTCAATATTTCAATATATTCCTCAATGAATTCTTGTTAACGTTGCATACGTATTTTTAACACTAGAAAGACGGAAAATTCGTATATACCTATATTGCCTAAAAGCAGTCGAAATGACAGGATTGTGAATGCATAAATAAATTTGTTTAAAATTAATTTTTAACATTTTTCATATTATTTACAGTTATTTAACAAGTTATTAGTAAATATTAACAATGAAAAAAAATTATATGTTGCACAAAAAGTCATTATAGACATCATTGCTTTTCTAATTGAAATTAAAAGCAGTCAAAATGACTTCCTTAGGCAATCTAGTGTTAATTTAATCATACAATTCACATACCTTAGTACAAGAGCAATGTGAACAGAAAAAGGCAAGCTACTCTAAAATTCTGAAACCAATGATGAAAATGGTTGATAAAAACTCAACCATCAAGCTTGCTTGCGAGGAAAAATTGTAAAATGAGCTAGATATATGCTTTTTTGCAGGTTTTACTAACAGACGAGGAATAAATTTATGAGTGAGAACCAATACTACAATCACTATCTGCATAATAAACATTCTTTATAAAAAGAAAGAAAGTGTAGCACTATGATTAAGTATTTCTTTGCACTTAGAATGTAATACGACGGAAGCAGGCAAAGCTGTTTAAACCACAAATAAAGATTCAAACCGTAAGAATGAAAAATTTTAGACACGAACGTATTCTAATATGTGCTTAAAATTGTTCCGATCCATACAATGTATAAAACAATCTATTATATATAATTCTCTTACGTGGCTCCCAAATTTTGGCTGTATTTCTTTTCCGCCGGTGGCAACGTTTGCTTTGTTTTGAAAACACCAAAGCATTCTGCCTTTTAATGATGTGTTTCTGATCTAATATATATAATTCTCTTACGTGGCTCCCAAATTTTGGCTGAAGTACTTTGTACAACTAAATAAGATTCTTTTCACAACAGTTAAATATTTACTTTATTTTCTTCATTCATAGAGAAAACAGTCGGCAAAGAATTCTGTTAGGTTAAAAAACATTTCGCTAAAAAAATAACGAATTCTAAAAGAAATAAAAATAAACAACTTAAAAAATAAAAATGCTGTTGCCAGCCATAGAATTTTTTGAAAGTTAACTTAGCAACATAAATCAAAATGACATAGAAGCGCAACTAGATCAAAATTATGATACCTGAGCGCTTGACGTAACAAATCCTTCAATTCTAAAAGTGTTGTATCGCCAAATGCCCAAATTAACAATTGTGTTCTTAAAGAAATTCTATAAAAAGTTTTAAATAAACAACCTACTTCTACAACTGCTTCTTGAAGAACTTGGCTCATTGATTAAAAATATTGTTTTAATTTTACAGTACTAACTTTACTTCTACTTTCATTATTGCTATGACCCTCTTTCATTACATTTTACAACTTCATGCTAAATTTGAGGACTTTAAGTTGTTTTGTGGTTGAATACTGACATTTAGAAATGTGTACATAAAAAAAATAATATTTAGAGGTTAAGAGTTGCCTCAGAAAAATTTGAATTGTTGACATTGAACTTAACAATGGAAACAATCGTTTTTGTGAAAAATTGAATTGTATTGTTGACATCAAAACTAAAAATATTGTGTTTCAACTTAACAATACTACCTTAATTTATACTTTAGAATTGCCTCGGAGAAATTTGAATTGTTAGCAATGACTTAAACAAAAAGTTTTATTTTAACTGACAAATACTATATTATAATTTTAACTTTTTCTATGACTATACTCATTTTCTTACTCTTTTCTTTGTTTTTTATGCTTTTTATTTCTTTGTGATAAAATACAAAACTTATAGTTGTTCTGCTTCTGAACACTGATGAAAACACAAAATGATGGGCTTCATCAACAATCAAAAATATATACATTTATTTTACAAATTCCATATTATTAAGGTGGCGCCCTTCAGAGAATTAAAAATACAAGATTATCTTCATCGAAGCCGATGCTTTACATCTGGCGTTCAGTGGCAGACTACTATTTCATATTGTTTTACAACACATGGCTTTAGCCCTCTGGTGGGAAAGACTTTAAAACAAAACTTACAACAGTTACTTTTCTCAACAACTGAAATTTAGAATAGTGTGATTAAGAAAAATATGTGAACTGTTTGCAATTTCAAATTAATATTGAAATGTACAGGTTTAGAATTTTCTACAGTGAAAAGTTTTCGGAACTTCAGTATTCAAAAAATGATACAAAAACTAGGCGTTAAGAACGTATCCAATGAGCGAGCAAAGCGAGCATTGGATTGCGAAGCAATCTTAAATGAACTGTGAAAGCAGTTCCGGGGGTTGGTGAGCGCCAGCGAGCAGGGGGCGAAGCCTCCTAGTAACAATGAAAATCATTATTCTTTATCATCTGCAATGATTGAGTCGATTGTAGAAGAAGAAAAATTTAAATTCGTAGAAATAATTATCGAATATTTATGCGTGAAATATCAAGCTGGAATGAAATTTTCTATGATTTTTTTTAAAAAAATTATTGAAGTTTTTACTGTATTTTTAGTGAATAAAAGGATAGAAATACGATTTGAGCTGATAAAAGAAAAAGAAATTGAGTACTTGAAATAAAACACGACCTAAGTACTATAAAAATTGGAAATGTTTTTGTTTTTCTCACGGAATTCTGTTCTAAAGAGCAAACACAAGGCAAAGTGGAGTACACCCAAAGTGTGAACTCCGGTAGTAATAGATCAAAAGTTTGTCGAAGGATCGCGCGGGTTGAATCAACACCTCCTAGAAAAGAGTAGGCCTCTGCACGGGTTACCATAAATATCCTTTAGTAGTTCAAACGTAATGACATATTTTGTATTTTCAACCACTGCGCAGCTTAGTACCCCGAACGTAATGACATCTTTCTTATTTTTCATCGACTGCGCAGTTAACTTCGTCACATCGGACTACTAAATTGATCCGTGCTGAGGCCTTCCTACTTCTAGGAGGTGTTGGTTGAATGTGCCATGCGCATTGAAGTAGAGAACGTCCGAAGTGCGATCAGTGTTCAGTCACGAAACTCCCCGCATTTTGTTCACGTGTTTCGTTACTTGATAGTGATTGCGCTTTTAGTGTTTAGTATGAAAGTTTCTAATGTTTTTTATTGCTATAATTGCAGTGAAAGTGACTAAGATAATGACGCTTCAAGAAAGAAAAAAACCTCGGTGAACTACACAGTCTCTTCACAGATAGCCCGCCTAAGAAAAAATAATCTCCGGCTGATATTACTTCAGAGTATAAGTATGCACGTAAAACACTGTCGAAGGAATATCGAAAAACTTTACTTCGTATCATACTTTTATTATAGATGCTACAGATCATACATTTTGGATAGATTGGAACGCTGGCCAGTACAACGAAGAAGAAGTGGGTCATTTGAAATACCAGAAAAGAGTATGACACCTTGCACTTTTTTCTTTATGATTTTGAATGAAAAAGGAGAACATATCAGCGTGTGTAGAAAAATGCTCAACAGTATTTTAGCTCAGACGTCTAGGGAGCCACGTACAGTTCAACAGAAAATTAAGGATAGTAATCTTATGTTTAAAGAGAAAAAGGGGTAGGCCATAGATAGTAAACGTTCACTAAACAAAGTTTTCAAAAAAATGACGGTGAGTTGATTTGCATCTCATATCAACTTCTTCCTCTAGAAAGTTAATCATTATTCAAGGAGAGAAAAAGAGTACCTAAGTCCTTTATTCACGAATATTCGATGCATTCAAGGAGGACGACAGATCGCATTCGTATATATATTTTTAAAGGGATTTCAGAAACTTAAATTTGCGTGCCCTCAATCCGATTCTAGCAATACTTGTGACAAGTTCGAGGCTAAAGATGCAGATACTATCAACCCTAGATATAATTAAGATGCAACCACTCCGCTAGGTTTGGAAAGCGAAAGCGGAAAGAAAAAGCGGAAGATGAGATATGAGAGACAATCAATTCACAGATGCCTGGAAGTGGTTTGACTGTATTTTGTATGGATATGCAACAGGTTTCTTTTTCTTTCGTTTCAACTTTACTCATTCAAGCATGATTAACAACCGCCAGCTGTCATGATACAATTTCTGATTACACAATTGACAATGGCAGCTAAATGAATATGTGGAATCAAAGCATTGAAAGACAAGGAGGAAATGAAATAACTTCATGCTTGTTTAAAGTACTTCACACCAAGACTTCAAGGTACACGATAGGTTGCGATTTGGGCAGACAACAGCGCCTACAAAACAAGAACAGAATGGTAATGCCCTTGTATTTATGGCTACAATTTTATGCCCTGTGGCCGTGATTTTGGTCTCATAATGATACGTAAGCGCAAGGTTATAAACAATATTAATCTGATCTATTCTATAGTGGTAAGGCATCACTCTGTAAAAAAAGAGTTTTCAAAATTAGGCAAAAATGTGCCAAATAGCTCCAAAACAAATATAGTCGAATAGGAAAACCTCATGTACCCATTATTGTATACACTCAAATCAGTATAATGGCTATATCACACGAGAGAAAATAAATATGTGCAACTGCAAGTGTAACTGCAAGTGTAAGTGCAACTGTAAGTGAAATTCCTCCGTTCGGAGTTGCCGAAAGGGTTGCTTAATTGCCTGAACGGTTGCATGAAATTGGGTTACCATATTTTGTTATTTATCTTTACTTTTGGCTCATATTTAATTTTATCATATTGAATGAATTCTG